GGGTAACCCTCCTCACACTATATATTATGTAGTCTCGAGGTATGAAAGGAAACTGTAAAGACCCTTTTACTTTAATTTGTGTTTATTCTAAATGTTGAATTTTTACTTTTAATTTTTAGATTAATTAAGTTAGGATGGATCGATATTTATATCTATATTATGAAAATATAACTAGATTACAAAATAAAGGAGCATTTGTTTAAATTATGAAAACAAGAATCTCCTATATCAAAGTAACAATCTTCAGCAAATTATTATTATTAATATTCGAATAAAAAACAAGAAAAGTTTTCGATTTATAAAATTATGCCAGAATTAAGTGAATTTTGATACGAAGTTTAATTCTATTTAATTTAATTGGAATAAATTAATCATATTTAAGGCTAATAATAAGATGTATTCTTTTCTAAGCTGTAAAAGAACCATAATTTATTAATGACTTATTATTTAATATTTACTGTACTGAAAGTATAGTGTATAATTAGTTAATTAAAACGCAAAATATTTGAATTTTAATTTTAAAAACATATTAATAAAACTGAATTTGAAAATAGTTAAAAACTCGAAGCTAATAATATTCTACATCCTAAATTTTTTTTGGCAACAAAATTTGTGGTGACGACCAGACTAGAAATTACATTAAATTATTAGGAAACTTCTAAAATATGAATGGTAATACAATATATAAATTAAAGTTACCAACCTTATGGATTTAAACCTAATAATTACGTTGTTTGTTGTTAATAGAATATTATAATATAGAATATAAAATAGATCTCAATGTAAAATCAAAATCTTAATGTTTGAAAAACTTAATATGATACTCAGAGCCGTAACTAGGCATTCTTGTGCCCTGTGCAAGAATTTGCATTTAGGCCCCTTAATTTATTTGGTTTTGGGAAAATAATAAAGCAAATACATTACAATAGATTTTTAATAAGATTTATTTTAATTGAATTTTTCTGGCTTTCATTTTAGCAGATTCATTAATTACACCATCACAGAGCCGTAACTAGGATTTTGGACGCCTATGGCCAAGAATAAAAATGGCGCCTTTTTAATTTTTATTATTAAAAAAAAAATTTTATTTTAAAAAAATGCTATTGTAAAAAATTTTCTAGTGACGTTTAAATACTATACAGGGTGTATCAGAACGACGTTTTAAAAATTTGGGGGATTGTAGAGGATGAAATTTTGAACGTTTTGATATGAGAAACCTATAGCTGGAAAAGTGATAGAACGTTTCTACAGCACTTTGCACGTTCTATGCGATCGGTATGATGCACTGACATTCCCTCGAGCTTCACCATAACACAAATGCATATTAGCAAGTTCTCCAAATGTGTAGTTACCCTCCAAGAAGCCAGAACGTATCCACAGTACGTAAAGCACGGTAAGCGGACAACTGTACAATGACTCACGTTGACTAGCTGTGTGTTTACAGCACAGCGCCAGTGGATGCAAGGAGTGACCTGAAGAACGACAGGCACTAAGTACACAACGTCCTGTACACAGGCTCAGTTAGACCACTGTAGTTGTGTGTTTACAGTCTTCCATCCGCAGCAATAACATGACGTCAATGGACGGAAGGGTAGCTACCAAAGTGAAGGGCGGTCAAGCACTTCCTACCGCTGTAGACACTTTAGTTCAAATTTCCAGCTATAGGTTCCTTATATCAAAACGTTCAAAATTTTATCCTCTATAATCCCCCGAATTTTTAAAACGTCATTCTGATACACCCTGTATAAATATAAATATAAAAATGTTTTTGTGTTATTAATTTCGAATACATATTATTTCGAAATCTTCTCGTTGGCGCCTTTATTAAATCGACGCCTATGGCGGGGCGACATTGGCCATACCCTAGTTACGGCTCTGCACCATCATAATTAATATTTTTAACGATATTGCATTCTATTGAAATAATAGAAATATTGAATAATCGTTCTTGTCCGATAATTGATCTTAAATAATTTTTATTAAGTTTAACTTGCTAAAACTTCTCTCGCACGAAGCAATAGAAACGGGAAGAGTTAGAAATATTCGAAGAGCGATATTGATATTTGGTTAAAACTCAATTAAACTAAAATCATGAAGAGCCTGTAGAATATTAAGCGGAGATACAGTTTCTATATTTTGTACAAGAGTCGTTATTTCAAAATTAAAACTTTCAATTTCACTTGTGAATTCGTACTTTTTTAAATCTTTGCTATATTTAACAGCGAGATCTGCACCCGATTTTTTTAAATCAGCAACAATCGTGTATAGTAAAGACGAGCCACAGAGAAAGCAAAAATCGTCACAGATAGTTTTCATTTTTTCATAACGCCAATCTATTTGACAATTTTGACAATCTATTTGACTGTAAATTTGTATTTTAAATAATTTTTCGGGTGTCAAGTTACTTCCTTCATCTGGCGTTTTATCTATTTCCATTATCTTAACTCTTTTCGTTTATTAAGAAATCCCTTTTCTATACTTTTTGGTTTCTTTTAAGAATATGATCAATAATAGCATCTGTTAATATTGTTGGCCATAAAGCTATATCATTTATTACTTCTATGTATCTATATATATCGAAGCGATTTTTTTTCTAATTATTTCTATCTTCTGCGTTTTCGCAATCCCTTTTTTCAGTAGCATTTTAAAGACTGCGGGAGCCCCTTCGTGGACCTACGCGTCCGCATAGTTCGCTTACCGCTTAATCCGCCGTTCAGGTATACACCACATATGCGTACCACTATAAAGCAAAAAATTAAGTCAGAATTTCTGCACGCCTTTTACAAACCTCGATACTAAGATTTTATTCGGGAGTTACCGTATTCAATTTAGTAATTTTAAAAAAATCCTCGGGCAGATTTATTTTTGTTACAAAATGTTACCTTTACAGATTTCTAGCTCTGCACCTGTAGAAAAATCTAGAAATACAGTTTTGTACATCGTAATAATAGTAGTAGTTGCCAGAGAGCTCTATAAAGTAGAGAAAAATCTGTAAATTTGAAAACTATAAACATAAATTTAAACTTCTCAAAAAATAAATTAAAAAATTTCAAAAGTCGCTACTTTTGGCTGATTTGTCTGAGTTCTCCGTTACCTCACTACGTCCCTCTAAAAGTCGCCACAGTTGGGAACACTGGTGAGCAGACATCTAGGGTCTAAGTAAGACGAAATGTAATCGCCAAACCGCGCTGTAGAAAGGTGGAAAAATTTAATAATTTCTTGTGAACAGCAGTTTGGGCTCCCCTTCCAAGTGGCCCTGTGCGGGCCCCCTTCCTAGTGGCACCTGTTGCACCTGCCTAGTTATGGCTCTGGGGATACCTATACTAGGTAACCTGTATAAAGCGGAAACCTGTCTACTACGGAAGAGTTGTTCGGTCCCTTGGGGTTCCGTTATAGACAAGTTTGATTGCATTAATATAATAAACTTAGTTATAGATGTACTTTAAATATCTTAAATTATCTTTTAATGAATATCTATATTTCAATTTTTAAAAACTTAAGTTCACATTTATTTTTTGCTATTTACATTATAGATTTTTCTGAAAATATTTTATAAATACATAATATTTTAATTATTTTTGCTCGTTTTTCCTAGTAGAGGTAGAAAATTAGCTATTTTTCGCTAATTTTTTACCTCTAACACTTCATAAGTCTATTAAAATCATAATAATAACAAAAATGAAAAGATCGAATGACGAATACCTTTTGTATTTGGATAATTAAATATCTGGAAATACATTGTTGTTGCAACTACTGAATTTGCGAAGACGAAGTAAGCGGATTATCCATTCACACAATTTTTGTGTTTACTTGCTCCTATAACTTAAGCTTTACACAATTGCAGCGNGTCTCCGCTACCTCACTACGTCCCTCTAAAAGTCGCCACAGTTGGGAACACTGGTGAGCAGACATCTAGGGTCTAAGTAAGACGAAATGTAATCGCCAAACCGCGCTGTAGAAAGGTGGAAAAATTTAATAATTTCTTGTGAACAGCAGTTTGGGCTCCCCTTCCAAGTGGCCCTGTGCGGGCCCCCTTCCTAGTGGCACCTGTTGCACCTGCCTAGTTATGGCTCTGGGGATACCTATACTAGGTAACCTGTATAAAGCGGAAACCTGTCTACTACGGAAGAGTTGTTCGGTCCCTTGGGGTTCCGTTATAGACAAGTTTGATTGCATTAATATAATAAACTTAGTTATAGATGTACTTTAAATATCTTAAATTATCTTTTAATGAATATCTATATTTCAATTTTTAAAAACTTAAGTTCACATTTATTTTTTGCTATTTACATTATAGATTTTTCTGAAAATATTTTATAAATACATAATATTTTAATTATTTTTGCTCGTTTTTCCTAGTAGAGGTAGAAAATTAGCTATTTTTCGCTAATTTTTTACCTCTAACACTTCATAAGTCTATTAAAATCATAATAATAACAAAAATGAAAAGATCGAATGACGAATACCTTTTGTATTTGGATAATTAAATATCTGGAAATACATTGTTGTTGCAACTACTGAATTTGCGAAGACGAAGTAAGCGGATTATCCATTCACACAATTTTTGTGTTTACTTGCTCCTATAACTTAAGCTTTACACAATTGCAGCGAGTATTGAAGTGAAGCCTGCAATTTGACGATTTACTTATTGAATACTTGAAACAAACTTGTGCCATGTATAGATTAGTCGTATTAAAAGAACATTTTAACGTCAATAGAAATAACTGTATTTTATTTGATAAATATTAATTATATAATAACATTTATCAAATAAATACATATTTATCATGTTGTGGGGCTGGTTCTATATAAGTTATATAAACTTATATAGAATTTCATTTATTATATAATAAACCTTTAATTTAGTATGTTTAAATTAAAAGCACTAATCTGGAAATAGTTTTTTAATTATTAGCTTCAGATTACAAAGTATTATTATTTTTTATATAAATGTAAATTATTATTTTAATAATTGTTTTGAAATATTCTTTTTGAAACAGGTTTATAATAAAATCAAAAATTATAATCATCCTGGTCTGCATGTTTATAGAAAGGAAGATATTCCTGATGAATATCATCTTAAACACAGTTATCTAACTCTTCCTATATTATTGGTTGCGGATGAAGGATACTTTATCAGTGGAGTAAGTATGATATTCAAACTACTGCTTTTAAAAATATTTAATGCACCATTACCAACAAACCATTATTTTAAATACTGTGTAAAAATAATTTATAAAATCATTGAAATTTCATTATTTATATACATCGTTTGAAATTTATTTAATCGCATCGACATTCATTTATAGTTTGGTTGCAAAAATCAATTGTTTTAGTAAAATTTCAATAATAAATGAACAAAATGAATATTTTTAAAATAAATCTTCCAAATCCTCTTGTATTATATTAAATAAAATTTTTATTATAGTTATTTGAATTCAAATTGATACAATGATGACCGGATGGTTGAGGTGGTTAAAACGTCAGCCTACTGCTCTGGGCGATCCGGTATCGAATCTGGACAAGCAATTATCCAGGAACTTTACAGGGTGGTCTGTCCCGGATTTATCGACCGCCGACCCTGGACATCTGGCCCTCCATTGTGGGCCTGGTTGAATAAGTCTTGGTACGATTTAAAAGGTCCTCTTAGTACTTAATGAGAGGAAACAGTCAACAATTAAAACGAACAAATAATTTTTATTAATTTTGCCGATGNACCGGTCCGTGGATCAAACGGTACCGGGCCGCCCAAGGAACATTAAATTATTTCCATTTTATTTACTATGGTGTATTTCCTCGGGTTTGTGCGACTTTTAATGGACGACGGAACAACAGAATAAACTGGACGTAAGAAACACACTTCGGGTGTCATTGTCTCCTATTACCCCTAGAGGGAACCGTCTCCTTGCAATGAAACAAGCTCAGGGTTCTCATTGATTTAGCGTTCTAGTGAATTAAAATGTTAAATCACGTTATATTCATTTTTTGGTGTAACTGTATTTTATTTTGAAGGCATGTTTAAATACAATTAAATTAAAATTATTAAATTAAGTCAATCTAAAATATAAACGATCAACGTCCCCCCTCAGTGGGCCGCGGTAAAATTATCAAACTTTGACCGGTCCGCGGCGATAAAAAGGTTGGGGACCGCTGCCTTACAGTATTTGGATAACATCTAATTTAAGCGTTTCCATTAAATAACCTTGTTATATTCTAAGTTTTGAATACCTATTAAAAACAGTAAATTCTTTGTTTTTATTATCATTTTATTTTAAAGTTTAAAAGAAAATTAACTTCAAAATATATCTGATCTATCTTTTAATAATAATACAAATAAAAATCATATTTTTATTCTCTTTGTAGTTTTTTTTAACGCATGCTGAATTTTCAGTAAAAAATATATTGCGTAAGGTGCGAGTTTTTTAATTAAAAAACATTTATTTTTTAATTGTTTTAATGAATTTGCTAAATTTTATGAGAAAATGCAACAAGTCGAGCTGTAAATATACTTTATAAAAAGCTTGTATTTTTATGTTAGAAAATTATATAAATGTATTTAAACTTTGGATTGATTTTAAAAGTAGTAATTCGAAGTTTTATCCGAAATTTAGCAAAGGCAAAACCGATACAACAATATACTAATAAGTTAATTTGACTCTAATAAGTCATTTAAGAGTTATTTTATCTTATATATTACTTAGATTAATTTAAAATAGATGTCCATATGTGTGTTACAAGTGCAAGAAAATATTTGGATCTATTTCTTCATCGAACCAATTCTGAATCATAAACAATAGTGATATCTGTAACTTTTAACCTTTTGTGTATTTGATCCTTGTACTGTATACTGGCACAACTTAGAATTTTTAGTTCATTCACTAGTAAATGAATAGCTCTTCTAAAACATTGTTTTATAATATAACAATATGTTATATTCATAACGAAAAATTTTCTGGAAACTTTATTTTTCCAGTTATCAATAAAGACAACTTTAAATCATATCAATACTCGCGACAGTAATGGAAATGAATGTTAAATTTAATAAGAATTAACTGCAAAAACAGTAATTTTATTTTAAAATTATTAAAGATTTTATGTACATGTTTTATTATGTTTATCTTATTTTAAAATTTAGTTGGATTTTCCTGATAAAAGTATTCCTGGAAGATCAACACTTTCCAAAGGCGGTAGTCATGGTTATGACCCTTATAAAGTCAAGGATATGAGAACCATATTCTATGCTAGAGGACCTGGTAAAAAAATTTAGTTATTTAATTTTTAACTAAACTTAACCAAATTAAATGTGGTTTTATAATATTAGAGAATTTTCATCGTTATTTTAACATTTATCTTTTAGACTTGAAGAAAGGATACATATCACCTCCCATCGAGAATGTCGATCATTATAATTTGATGTGTCATTTATTGGGCATAAAACCACTATCTAATAACGGATCTTTAGAAAGGATTGAAGGAATGTTCACCAATTCTGCGTCTTATAGTAAATCGATATCCGTCCAAAGCATGCTGTTCATTGTAACGTTAATTATTACATTGATTATAACGTGATCTTCTTAACCAATTTTTTAGATAAGAAACATTTTTTCATTTTTTAAAATATTGTGACAAGCTATTTTATTTTTCAGTTTGTTTACATATTGATAAACAATTTGGAAATATTGATATTGTGTACAGAACTTTTCATGACCAATAAAAATTTTTAATAATTAGGAAAATACTTGTAATTTATTTTGATTCTAAGTGCAAAGTATTGAAGTACTCGTAATGTACTGTATTATACAGTACATATACACAGAATATAGATAAAAACATTACTCCAGATTTTATCTTGCTTATACTATGTATTAGCTAAATATAAGTGCACGAGAGTTTGGGAAAGTAGTGAGTTTAGGTAATAGGTAATAGTAGATTTTACAACCTATTATCTAACCTCTTGTGCCATGTCTATCTTGCAGCAGTGCTTGGCTACCTAGTCGCCACGCACCGCCGCTCCTTTTTTTTTTCATGAGATCAAATCTTATCTCGACTGCTATGAAAGATAGCGACACAGTTTAAATTACAAAGTCGTAGAGCGTCTCAAAATTAATAGAAAATGTTTTAGTCCGGTTAAAATAATGGGGAAACGACACCGTCAAAAAGTAGGTGGAAAACTGTATGAGACTTCAGCATGAAGGTCCACCAGCGACTGAGTGGATAAAACACTAGTAGTTGATGCGGGTTTACGCTTGATCAACGGGCTGATCACGTGAAGTTTTCCGGACTTTCTTCACGATGTCTAACACCTAAATAAGGGGCATTTTCCATAAAGTCCTCCCTGGAGGCATTTCCTAAGCAGATCGCCTATTTGTTATGTTACCTTATTCCATAAATCCAACCCAATCCTAATTTATTCACTGTCGTGTACTTCATTATCACTGCGGTCAAAATTTGACGCAGCTTTACATGGCGCAAGCCCACCAGTGGCCGAGTGGAAAAACTACCGAGGAATGGTAGTTTGTTGTGGGTTTGCGCCTCGTCAACGGGCTGGCCGTGTAAAGTTTTTCGAGCTTTCTTCACCTAAATAGAGGCCAATTTCTCCTAAAAGATCTCCCGGGGTGCATTCTCCCTTGGCAGATCTCCCAAAACTTGCATGGCACAAAAGCGCCCGGGTCTTTTTTTACATAAATGAACATAAGTTTTTTTGGCATACTTTTTTCTTTGCTTTCACCAATTTAGAATTGGTGAAAGCAAAGAAAAAAGTATGCCAAAAAAAAACTTAAATTCCAGTTCTGTTCTTTATTTTTTCTGGCTTCGAATTAAATCTGCGCATTTTGCCGCCTGAACATTTCTCGGTAACTTTCCTTCTTCAGTTGAGGTAATATGGCAACACGTGATGAACAAAAGCCATGAGATGTCATGACTGATGACGCATCTTATGGCTTTCCGATATGTGCCATCATCACCGAAATGAAGTGCCATTACTAACGGCAAATACTACCATATCTGAAGCAGCCATAGCACTTTGCTCTGAGTTTTCCATGCTATGTACTTTTCTGTACTTTCTACACTCTGCATTTTCAACTTACAATATCCTTGATATCCTTCCGCCGTTCATCTTGATATCCTTTTCCAGACTGTCAAGCAATTAGAAGCGATTTCTCACCTCGATCGTATAACTCGGAGATACTGATTCCGTATCAAATTTCAAAGGACCCTTGACACTGTAGTGTTGAAGAATCAAAGTTCAACTCTCGCAACAAGAAATTGATTATTAGAACTAGGATCGGCAAAGCTTAGCAATTTGGAAATGCCGAGCTAAACTGATGTCTTGACAGGCGAGCTGCGAGTTGAACTGTGAATTTGGACCGGAGCTTTGAGCTGAGCTGAGCTGGAGTGTAGGAGTGCATTACAGCAAAGGCTATTTTTGAAGTTAAATTACATCTGTAATAATAACGGATACACAGTATGTCGGGCATGTTTTCATTTATCTGTTGTTAAAATGAGAGCATTCAAATAAAAACAATTTGAGCATTAAGTAATTGAAGCATAAATAATTTTTAGATTAAGAGGTTTATTAAAAGCAAAAAAAAAGTAATATTTTAAAATGATAGAAATAGCGATAATTATTTCTAGCAAAACATGCAGAGTGCAGATAATTCGAAGGGGATGGAATCGAGAGTACTTCAAGTTACAAAAAACTCGGAATATGAATCGAACTGAGTTGAGCTGCAAACTGCGATTCTGGACTCCAGCATAGAGCTGAGCTGCCCGTCAAAATCTTGAGCTGTAGCTCAGGTTAACATAGTACATTTGATTGAACTTCTAATTAAAACAGTAATCAGTACTTGGGAAGATTTTTCATTGCAATAACCAATCTTTTACATCTTTAGAGACAGATCCAACTTAACGCGTTGTAGGAAGAAGTCCACAGGTAAAAGGTACGTTTTGGTTGTGATCATAAATGTATTCATGATCACCAACTGATTCGCTTTACAAAATTGAAGTAACATTTCCGGCTTTGTTCTTTTCGCCCAATCCACATTTTCCTGTGAACAATGATGTAAACAATGTCCTTTTTCGGAATGCGTTTTAGCACTTTTTGAATATCAATATATACGCTTTTTATTTGCTCGTTAGCCTCATCTGTGGCAAGAGCATGCATAAATCTATATAACGAATTTGGCAAGGGACCTTTCGTTAATGCGAATGCTAATAATTCTGCCGTTTACAGCACGAAAACTGTGGACTGCTCTGCCGATCGATTTTATCTGGGATGAATGCAACACCATTCCTTTGTATATATTAATTTCCGGAACGATAGATTATAAAATCACCGCTTGAGAAATATCTGTTCTCTTCCAATGAAGCTCACAGATTCTGAGTAGATCGATATTTAATAGTCGCATTCCATTCTTTGATGATCAGTTTCCAGTGTTCATTCCTTGCACATTTCATTGTCGAATCTATATGAGTTAGTAATGCGCTGACCGTTTCTCTCTCTACATGTGGTATTAGCACCTGGATATAATCGGCCAAATTTGACGATAAATCGCCGATTGGGCTACGTTTAATGGCTTTTATCGATCAGAAAAGGTGTTTCGCAAGGTTATTAGATAATATGGTTGGGGAGCAGAGCAGAATTTTCTGTTTGGAGTCACTTTTGCTCAAAGGAGCGCTGGAATTGGATTAAGACGGAAAACAGGACGAGTATGTACAAAACATATAAAACTGATAGGTAGCTCGACTTCTAAATGTAAATTAACTTTTTTTAATATAAGTAAATTCGGAAAGAGGAACCATCGAGCCTTTTTTCAAAATTGCAGGGCCACGCTTCGAATAAATAACAAAAATTTATGTTTAATATGATCTACAATTCCACGATTAATGCTTATAAATAAAAATTACAGTATTTAAAAGCATTAAAATTATTTACCTATCTTTTAAACTTTTCATTACTTTAAAAATGCGCGCATTTATCCTTTCCTAAGAATAATTGCTTTCTCTCTCTCTCTCTCTCTCTTTTTTTTATTAAGAAAAGTTGGTTAATGATTTTTTTAAATTCAAATTTACAAGTTTTTGCAAAATACGTTTTTTTCAATAAATTCGTTAGAAGTATCTTAAATTCTTACAAAATAATATAAATTAATGGTAATAATTATTAATGAATCGATAAGAATAAAATTTCCATATAAGTTTACAATATAACTTACAACTTCCATAAACTCATTACGAAGTAATTAAAAAAGTTATAATTTTTTTTTTTAATTTCAAGTTTCTTTCGAAGACATTTTATTATTCAACGACTTAAGTTGAACGTATACATCCTACACAATTATGCATTATTTTGGCACTGCATTAAAAAATTAGAAAAGGTCTATCATCTCACTGGCTTACTTTATAACATCAAAACTTCATAAATGAGTCATCTATTTCCATTGTTGGAAACTATATTTACGGCATAGAAATTAAAACGGAGAAAATCATCATTAAAGAGAAAGTGGTATCTTTAACTGATAAAAATGGATACGAAATCAAAGGAAAGCAAAAGATATAAATGATCTTTTTAAATAAAACTGATTCGGTTTTAGAACAATGACAGTTAAAAGTAAATAAATAAATATAGCACATAGTTCAATATTCAGTTTATTAGCAATATTTACATAAAATTATCCAATATTTTATTATGGTTACGTATTTAATTAAAGTGGGACAACTTTGATAGAAGTAAAATTTTCTATCTAAATTGAATTGAATAACTTGAATTTCGAATTTTTTCCCCGAAGCAAAAGTAAAATTCTATCAGTACAGATTACATAACAGGAAATTGCAGAAGGAAAAGTATAACATACACGAATAATGTAAAATAAATTAGTTTACATAGTAAATGACAAAAAAATTCATTAGGGAATTCACTATAGGCCTATAAGGTTCCTTATTAAATAATTAAATATGTTAACTGATATGATTAATATTATGTTGATTTTGGATTTTGTCGTGTAAATTTTAATATTTTGATTTAAAATGCTTTATTGGGCTGCAATTTGAAAAAAATTTTAGATCTATAAATTCCCACTGTCATTCGCCTGTCTGTCATTCCTTAATCTTGAGAACAGAGTTAGATAGATGAAATACGAGACCAGATATGGAAATCTTAGGAACAGGAGAACCTGTCCCTAAGATTTCCATAACTATATATAAACTTTAGATGAAAACCGAAAGTCACGTTATTTCAATTCAAAAATTTCCCCGAAAGGCATTAAATATATAACCGTCTCGACTCTATTGTTAAAGGAACAATATGAAGTACAGGGGCAAGCCACTACTAATTTGAGATGGAGAACATATATTTTAAATTCAATAAATTAAAAATATATTAAAAATTGCAGCCCGGCATTATGACGATGCCATAATAAATAATTGCTCGCATTACGTTGCTCTATTACACAGTTAACGAGGATATGAAGTTTAATATTCGTAAAACGAAATAAAAACGTGCGAAATTTATAAATTCTTAAAAGGAGAAATGATGAAAACGTATTTAAAAAGTTTCAAAACACCAAAGTATTCACTTAAAAATATCATTATGCCACTGAATAAACCTTTTTAATGACTTTCCCACTTTACATCCTACAGTCATTAGACTACCTTTAAAGTACTGATACTTTGCTTGAGTTATTCATTTAATGAGAATAAAAAATATCAGTCAGAAGATAGACGACGTTCGACGTAGTAACATGAATTCATCTTTTACTTCTTTCATTGTACTGTACTTACCATTCTGATATCTTTTGGAAATGGAAAAATTTTCAACAAATGTGAAATGGCATCGATTTTAGTTAGAAATCAATTCCTAAGGAAGAAAACTTCTGATTGTAAGCGTATAATAGTTTTGGACTCAACCTACGGGCACTAAGATGGCCTTTTTACATGCCCATTGTGGACTTAGCCAAACCCACAATGATGGGACGACCAGGTGGTAAAGGATGTGATCAAACAACAAAAATTCTATTTTTTATTTTTTTTGTTTTGTTTTTTATTGTCAGGATTTGATCTTGGGTACTCTAGAGAGGTACACTGACGCCTTAACCACCTCGGTCATCCGATATATAAAAATTATAATTTAAATAGCTGAAGCTATTTTTAATAAATAATATAACGTGCGAATCAAATCGAGTGTTTTCATATTGTATTCAAAAATATATTTGAATACAAAATCAAGGAAAAAAAAGTTGAATTTTTATTTTTAAAATAACTCGTTATAGTTGTTTTAGATATAAAAATATGTTAAGTTTTGCTACGTTAATTTATATAAAAAAAATAGACATAATTAAATTTTTCATAAAGTTTATATCTCGATCAGAGATCTGCTTGATAGGACATGAAAAGTAACTTCAAAAGCTATGCAATAAATCGAAACAAAAATGGTTATAGAAGACACTGTATTTTTCAGGTAAATTCGATAAGTATAATTTACTCAAATTTTTAAAATAAAACAATTTGTAAACTTTAGATAAGCAATAGTAACTGGTTCGCTAATTCTAGACCGTATCGTAGTTGTAACGTTTAATGTGTAAGTATGATGAAATATTTTTAACAATATTATTTAAAAAAATATAATAATATACATTCAATTGTGTTTTCATTTAATTTATACAATTTAATAGGATTTTTAGATAATAATATAAGAGATAATATGAGATGTGCTAAAATGATATTCAGAAGAAAATTTTAATGCATGGCAAATATCATTGTTTAATTTACTAATATTTTATTATAATTTATCATATGCCATAATAAATAAATAAATAAATATATATATATATATACGTATATGTATTCATATATTTTCAATAAATATATGTTTGTATTATTTTTAGGAATGGGTGGAAGATAAATTGTCGAGGAAAGAATTTGCGACCTTACATTAATGGATACAAATATTGAAATTACGAGAATAAAATTAATTGAGATTAATTCTATTTTATAATGAAAACACTTATTAATTGTGCTTTTAAATAAATTAAAATTCTGATGATATTTTAGAAAATAAACATATAACTTATAATACTTTAGTAAATAAAATTCACAAGTTCAGTACTCTACAGTAAAAGTGTCTTCACATTCCTTTTCAAACCTCCGGAATATATAGTCTAAGAACTACAACAGAACCTACCTTTATTTTGAGGCCCTCGTCCCCTCAATATATTCTGAAAAATTCCAGGGGATTTTTTCAATCCATCCGGATTCGATTCCGTGTCCTCCAGAACTGTAGTCTATCACCTTGATCGCTCGGCCATCCGGCCATCTTGCATCCGCTCTGAAAGGGAACCCGACTTCTTTTTGCTTAAAATTGTTAGTCTCGTTTATTTTAGGGATTTTGTTTAGTTAACGGTCGGATGCACTTCATGCATCCGACCGGAAAAACGAAAAATTAAAATGAACTTACTGTTAACTATTATGGTGAACGTCATTAATCTCATTTATCTCGCTTCCTTCCGAGAGTCAACAAAGTAATATAAACGAGCAATTATTTATTGTGACATCGTCCTAATACCGGGCTGCAATTTTAATTAATTTAATTTAAAATATATGCTCTCCACCTCAAATTAGTAGTGCCCATGTGCATCATACTTTTCCTTTAACAGTACTGTCAATATTAACTGCTTTCAGGAAAAAGATTTGAATTGAAATAACGTGACTTCCGATTTGTATCGAAAGTTCATATTTTAGTTAATCAAGGCCGCCTGCCCCTAAGCTATAAGCTTTCCATATCTGGTCTTAACTTTCATGTATCTAACTCCGTTCTCGAGATTAAGGAAGGAAGGACAGGCAGTTGGAATTTATAGGTCTACAGTTTTTCAAATTGCAGCCCAATAACCAAAGTCTACTTTATAGATTTTTTAAACGAGTTATGAAAACACTCATCTATTTAGACTTTAAAACACGAGATTTTCACGGAATCACAACGAATAGTTCGAATTTACTTTCAGATTGTGACAAAAAATGCTGATTTAAAACTGCAAAAAAATTTAATTGATTATTTTAAATGTAATATCCCGTTTTAACTGCCGAGCCAATTCGGTTTTCATTAATCTTCCGAAATTTTACATTAAAATATTTAATAAATGTTTTGAAAAACATATGAGCAAGTGGCGACATCTGCTATCGAACATAAATACTAAATAACATGGTTACTAGATAATAGAGGTGGGTTATAAGGGTTAGAACTTACACGTTTTTCTTTTTGCACTCTTAAGAATATGGCGACGGTTTAAGAAGAAAAGTTGAGGGATCTGTTTCAAAACCGCCCAACGTTATTTGTTCACATATGATCTATTAAGGGCACAATAATCGTAGTTAGGAATTTTCGCGTTTAACCGTGTGTTCTATTAGATTCATATGCGCAAAAAATATATTATTTCGTTTATTTATGATTTATGACTACTTACGAAGAGTATTTGGGTACTAATATTTGCTTCATTTGTTAGTGGTAAAGTACTGTACCTTTCTCAGTGAATTACTTCCAAACGTGCTGTTTAACGATTGGCAAAACATGTTTTGTAATTGGATGCAATGCTGGATACGCTACATATTCAGAGAAAGTAAGTTCATTTAAAGGATCTAAAGATCTGGGATTATTTCTGAAGTGGTGGCGAATGATTTCAAGAGAAGACAGATCACAAATCAACAGATTTCGTTTGCCAAAGATATTTTGCACCCCACTTTATTATTAAAAACTGGAATGGCACTAATAAAAGTATGTGGAAATTTGTGGGAGTAAATTTTAGCTTAGATAAACTTAAAAATTTTATGGTAATTTGTTTATCGAAGCTGTTTTACATAGTTTTGTGATGTTTTGATGACAACAGAAGAATTTAAATATTTACTGATACTCATCTTATAAAAACAGTCAGGAATCAGTTTGTTGATGGACACAATTTACATATAATCTAATTTTTTTATAAACTTGTTTAAATGGTATATTTTTGAACAGTAACTTATACATTTAGGTTTTGAATGATGACACCATTAAATGGAAACATTATCAAGTTTCGCTTGTCCTGAATTACGAGCAGGATGCTTAAATTTGTCCTAAATTAACTATTAATCGTATTTATCCACACAAAAATGAAAGTTAAATTGACTACCCAAGTATTTTTCTATTAGAACAAGTATACAATGAATAATAGTAGGCTATTTATGATTTACCCTAAAAATTAGACGAACCTAATATGGTTTAGGTAATTCAGAATTTATTTTTAAAATACTTTTTCTTATAGATATTTAGCAACTCAATTGCAGATAGACTGAAGTTTTATGCTCACGAGTGACATTAATATTACTGATGTGAGTCCAACAATCGGATTCACAAACGTATACTGTAAATGATCTTTTTGATGCTCTTAATAGACTATTTCCTTCAGAAAGTGTGAAAAAAGAATCATAATCTACAAGTATGGGTGAAAATTTTTTCATAATTTTACTTTTTTGCTTTTTGCTACTTTTATAGTTTTCTTTTAATAATTTAACAAATCTGGTTATTTCCGTTGTAAGTACTTAAAGATAACCTCGAATGGCCCAACATCTGGAAAATATTAAAAAACAAAACAAAACAAAACAAGCAAATTCTACCAGAATAGTTTTTAACTCTCCAAATAGCTGTGGGTCTGCAAGTTACTTTGATGTCAGCTATGGATCTGATTCAGTAATATCTATATGACTACAATTACAGATATTACAGGAAAAATTAACCAAGATCTATTTGAGGTAAGCATACAAGCTAAATTAAAAAATCTGCATCAATTAGATTAAATTTTTATTTTTATGTTAGCGCTTCTTTGGTTCAATTCGTTGAGCTGGGAGAAATGATCATCCAGCAATACCAATACACTTGTAGTAACTGCTGATTTACTCTTTGATAAAATCATCCACGTATGGAAATTGCACTGTTAATGAACGAAAACCAGTTTTGGATTTGGTAGATTTCCAGTCTTTGACAACAGGACCAAAGTATGGTGTTGTTTTTGAAAGCTATTAAAGCAGAGAAGTTCGAGACTGCATTATTTACTATGTCTGTGATTTTATCTATAGCCATTTTCTAAAGAAAACTGAAGTTAGCATCGAGGCATTTTCTACTTACAGTACTTTTTCCAATTTAATAGAAGCTGAATTTGTTAATGTGAAAAATAGAAATGGATTAATTTATCCAGAAACTATGAATTTGGCTACAATACAATATTGCGAAGAATATTTTGAGAAAACATTGTGAAGTAGAATCTGTTTACGAAATCTGCATAGAACTTTTTTGTAACAAAGCGTTGCAATTTTTATGTAAAGAACATGCAGAAGAGCTGCTAGCTTAAATAATTCATTACACTATTACATTCTATAATGTAATAGTTGAGAATGAGACAATATGCGAAACAAAAATTTCTTGCTTGTTGGAAAGCAGGATAAAAAATTTCAAGGATGCTTTCATAGTAAACTTTCGTTGTATTATAAATGAATAAATGATTTAAAACAATGTCTAATCTGTAATTACTCTGTAACATTTGCATTTATTTTATGAGTATTTTAATGTACTATAAACAAAACTACTTAGATAACTATACTTCAATGCAAAAATCCCCAACGTTACGCCATCTGGCGGATTCTAGGCAAACGATGGAAGGACAGATTAGAGGCAGGAGACCCCGATTAACTGAATATGAACTTCCGATGCAGACTACAAATCACTTTATTTCAATTCCCAAATTTTTCTCTGAAAGTAGTTAGATGACTGTCATAACTCCATTTCTGACGGAAAAGTATGATGTACAGGGGCAAGACGCCACCATACTAATTTGAGGTGGAGAGCATATACTGTATTTTGAAATTGCAGCCCGGCATTGGGACGATGTCACAATACGTAATTGTTCGTTTATATTTACGTTCAAGTGACCGAAAATGAACGAAACGTTTACCTCGATCTTCCCCGCCCGCAGAGGTGTTTCTCGTAGTAGAACCCATTCAAATACAGTGTACCTTCATTTCCACAAAAGAGCTGTCCCATGTATTTAAAATAATCAGTGTAAGTTTGGTAAATTTATAAACTGGTTAAAAGTAAATTTTGTAAATTGAACATTGGTGCTGTGTGCAGGTGTCAATATTAAATTTCTATTCACGAAATAAAGGATAGATTTTTTTTTCTAAAATGGTCACTTTAAAGGACAGAGTAGTGAAATAAAAGACCGTCCTTTTAAATAAAGGACATGTGGTCACCGTAGTTATACAATGATTCGTTATAACCTTATGAATAGTTATAATGTTATAAGTATAAGCGAAGACTCCCGCTGTAAGCTTACATTATAAAGTAAGATTGTAAAGGTAGCCAATCGGATCAACAGGACCAATAAGATGTAACAAAAGATTGACACCTCTTTTTTAAACGTGGCGAACGAGAAAAAGATATGATTACATTTTTCTGACGCTGAAAGGCTTAATTAAAGCGATCCATGCAGTAGCGTGCCGTAACAATTGATGATAGGGAAGCTGTGTTTCTGTAAGAAGCCGACTTCCAGGGGAAATCAGTCAGTGATGGTCTAGGGTCCATTCGTATTCGTTTGTTCAATAAGCCAGTAAAATCCGTAGACTTCTTTAAATGTAATTTTAATTAACAGATTATCTAACGCACTTAATAAATTAACGCACTTAAAAGCAAGTTCAATATAATTACCTCTGTTATATTAGATTCAATAGATCCCCTATGCCCTCTAAAGTCCAATTCTTGCTTTGATAACATCAACTAATTTAGATATATCTATTAGCCGTAACTTTGTTATAATTTTCAATATTTATTCTACTGATATATTGTTTACTAATGTTAAAGTCTATTCCGCTTTGATTTCCAAATTGATTCAATTTTACGAATGAATCGATGCGAGATTTACGATTTTCGCGTCTTTTGCCAGCTTTACTCAAATTATTTAAATCATCAAAGGCATTCTTATTCCACACACTAATTTCATTTGAAATTAGTAGGCCAGGCCAATGAAACAATTTTTGTATTTCTATTCATCCACAAAACCACAAAGCTTCATAAATTTTATCGTGAAAATGTCGAACAAACTTTTTGTTGACGTATTTATATTTAATTTAGGCATTGGTCTTTCTCTTTTAATAAAGTTTTCTTTTTCAGCCAAAACTTTTTTAAAATAAATTTTCTATATCGCAATTACATTCTAAATCGCTAGCCATGATATAAGGGCTAAAATGAAAAATAAAATTATAAAAACTTACTTGTTAAAATAAAATGTGTGATGGATATACAATTATACATACCTGGTACAAAATATTCAATTGTATGAATATAGTTTTGTGAAGAAACGTAAATAAAAATAACATAAAATGTTCTTTACTTTTTAAATATTA